ATAGAATAGAATAGAATAGAATAGAATAGAATAGAATAGAATAATTTTATTTCTATACCGCCCTTCTCCCGAAGGACTCAGGGCGGTGTACAGCCTATTAAAAGCACAAGACAAACATCAATTAAAATAATTTAAAATTATTAAATAATTTGTCTCAATTTAAAACCCCAGAAATTTAAAACACCCAATTTAAAATTATTATGTTGATAGCCCGGCCTGGCGGAACAACAGGGTCTTGAGTGCACAGCGAAATACCCGGAGGTCGGAGATCTTACGCACTTCCGGGGGCAGTTCATTCCACAGGGTGTGTGGGAAAGGTTGATCTAGAACTTCAGGAACTAGGGACTCTATAATATTCCTTGCACTTTATGACTGAGATCCTAATAACCTATGACATCAAAGACCCTTCTGCATGAAAAATGTAATAATACAATCCATAGTTGGATTATAAATGGTTTGATTAACAAGAGGGAACACAAAAAGATCTAGCTATTATCATTCCCAGTCTACAGGAGCTTCATATGTGATTCAAAGAACAATATAGTTCGCTATTAATTAATCTGCCTACATGCGTTGGCAATTGTTTGCAATTAATTAAAGATTCCAGACATGGGACTCAGTCTTGCAAGCTTGAGTGCCTGCTCTACTAGAGGCTCATTTGTCTCCAGGGACATGACTTCACTTTGGTCTCCCTCAGCATTTGAGTTTCCTGTGTCTCGTTCCTCTTCATTTCCTCAAATCAATTCTGGGGCTCAGTTCTTTGAAGAGCAGCTGGAAGGCCAAGGGACTTGTACGCTTTGACTCAAAACTTGTTAGCGAGGGAGGAAGCTGTTTTTCTTGGCACTGGTCATTTGAATGCCTGACGAATGGACAGGAAAGAAAAGCTAGTTAGGCACGGTTTTATAAATTATATTTGCCCTCTTTGTTTTTAAGGTGTTGTTTTCAATTTTGGTTGTGGTTTTAATAATTCTGGTCGATGTGCTTTACCAAAAACAATAGGAATGGATAGAATATGAATACATCAGTTATGAAAATTGTATTACTTGGAACAGCACATATGTTATGGAAACTTCTTTAAGTACTCCAGACCCTTGGGAAAGATCCAATAGTTAAAAGGGAAAGTTTTTGTTTTTTTAAAGAAGTCACAAAACTTGTAGACTGAATGTAAAAGATCTAATTACCAATCCCAATCTACAGGGAGCTTCACATGTGATTCAAAGAACAATATAGTTCACCATTAATTAATCTGCGTACATACATTGGCAAGTGTTGCAATTAATTAAAGGTTCCAGACAATGCTGCTGCTGCTGCTCCTCCTCCACCTCCTCTTCTCCACATATCCCACTCTCTTCTAGCACTGATGATGTTCCCTAGTTGGGTCATGAAACGTCTGCAAGAAAACCACCAAGCTCAAAGAGAGAACCAAGACCTCCCTCTCCTCCTCCTCCTCCCTCTCCTCCTCCTCCTCCTCCTCCTCCCAATATTTATCATGTCCAGCTCTATAGAATTCTTCATCTATTTGTATCCAAAGAAGTTCAACTTATGAGTATTTTAGTAGTGTTCACTTCCTCCAACTTTGGTGTTTCCCGAGAAAAAAATATTGGATCTAAAAAGGCAAGTTTGCCTCCTATTGCCACGTTGAAATGAATGATGTGTTCCACATTCCACATTCCACATTCCACATTCCAAGGAAAGGAAAGGAAAGGAAAGGAAAGGAAAAGAAAGGAAAGGAAAGGAAAGGAAAGGAAAGGAAAGGGAAAGGAAAAGGAAAGGAAGGGAAGGAAAGGAAAGGAAAGGAAAGGAAAGGAAAGGAAAGGAAGGAAAGGAAAGGAAAAGGAAGGAAGGGAAGGGAAGGGAAGGAAGGAAGGAAAGGAAAGGAAAGGAAGGGAAGGGAAGGGAAGGGAAGGGAAAGGAAAGGAAAAGGAAAGGAAAGGAAAGGAAAGGAAAGGAAAGGAAAGGAAAGGAAAACTGTTGCTCAGAGCTGGACTAAGCTGGATCATTCTGTTTCGGATGCTTTAGAGCTTTTTTTGATATTTTGCCAATCACTGTGACTTTTTCTTGTATCGTGAGTCATCACACAAATATATTCTGTTTCGATACATCCCCATTAATGATTGCTTCTTAGCTGAAGGTCAATAGACGTGGCTGTTAAACACTTTATACACATCTGGAAACCCTGAAAACATTTGGGGATAAAATGAAGAACCAACCTGCTCACCCTCTTAATAGAAGGAAGAGATTCCATATTTATAAACATGATCCTATAGCATGAATAAGCCCCCATTGGTTTTGAATGTTTCTTTTCTTTCTCCCTTGCATGCATTTATGTATCTGTTTATTCATACCTGGGTTTACCAGAATCTGGTCATAATTGTTAGATGTGTAGTATCTTGCATTGGTTGAATAAATATATGGTTTGGCGATGCACACTGTATTTATTTGGACCATAAGGAAGGCTGAGCACCAAAGAATTGAGGCCTTTGAACTCTGGTGCTGGAGAAGACTCCTGCGAGTCCCTTGAACTGCAAGGCGAGCAAACTGGTCAGTCCTAGAGGAGATCAACCCTGACTGATCTTTAGAAGGCCAGATCCTGAAGAGGAAACTCAAATACTTTGGCCACCTAATGAGAAAGAAGGACTCACTGGAGAAGAGCCTAATGCTGGGAAAGATTGAGGGCAGAAGAAGAAAGGGACGACAGAGAACGAGGTGGCTGGATGGAGTCACTGAAGCAGTCAGAGAGAGTTTAAATGGACTCCAGAGGGTGGAAAAGGACAGAAAGGCCTGGAGGAACATTGTCCATGGGGTCGCGATGGGTCGGACATGACTTCACAACTAACAACAAACAACAACAACTGTATTTATTAAAGTCAGGTCCAAAATTACACACCTGATCTTGGTGAATCAGTTCTGGGTTTTTGTTAGGGTATGAGTGCTATTTCTTCTGCTTCTCAGTCAGCTGTTGTGGCCTTGTGGGGTTCATTTTGCAAACAACATAATGTCGGGTTTCATGATTCCATAAGGTAGGGCAGGATTATTGCGGAGTTCAGCAGGCAGCAGAGAGTCAAGACCTTCCCTCAAAGAGCAACGGTATATATCAGAGGACAAGCATCCTTAGAATGAGATTAGTGAGTTAAATGATGCATGTCATAGATGAAAATAGTGTGTGAACTGCTTTGAACTACGTGACCCTAATTTGTTTGAGTTCTATATATTGATATGCACGGCTTAGCGCTTATTTAGCTAGCTGACTTCAATTCTTGTTGGTTTGCTTTCTTCAGAATAACAAAATAACTGAGTTGGAAAGGACTTTGGAGGTCTTCTAGCCCAACCTTCTGCCCAAGCAGGAGACTCAGAGGTGGGATTCAGCGAGTTAGGTCCAGTTCAAGTGAACTGGATGTTAAATTTACATCTGGTTCAGCGAACTGGTAGTTCTGACAACTGGCTGGCCCTGCCCCACCCCGCCCCTACCAGGAGTTCTCATGCAGCCCATTTTGGATCCTTGGTAAGTGCAGGGGGACTGTAGAGCCTGGGAAGGTGGAAAATGGGCCTCCCAGAGGCTCATGGAGGGCAAAAATAGGCCTATTTCCAGACTCCAGAGAGCCTCTGGAGCCCAGGGAGGTTAAAAGTGCCCCCCATTTTTTCCTCCCAGGTAGGGTGCAGGAGGCCGAGTGCTAGCTAACTGCTGTGTTATGCAAAGGTTCTTTTCCAAAGAAGAGAAGGTGAAGAGAATAAAAGTAGTCTGTTCCCAGTGGAAACTACAACTGGTGTATTCATCTCTTGGAATAATGGTAGACCAGTTTTTCCTTGAGGGTCTCTGGGCTTGGGAATGACTGCACCAAAGCGTAGATCACAAATTCTGCAGACATTTCCCTGTGCATTCCAATGTAGCTTCATCAATAGAATGATCCAGAAATGGGGCTTGCCGTGCTATACTTATAATCTATGTGGGCTTGAATTCTGTATTGTTGGTTGGGGTTTATTCTGTTCTGATTGCTCTGGTTTAGATCTTGTGTCTGATAGAGTGTAAATCCTATCCTCATGATGGCGAACATATGGCACGTGTAGCCATATCAGTGGGCATGCGAGCTTCCCATCGGAATTTGGCAAATGGGCTGTTTTCGGCCTCCAGAGGGCCTTGGGGGAGGGGAATGCCATTTTCCCCTTCCCCAGACTCCTAGAGAGGCTCTGGAGCCTGAGGAGAGCAAAAAACGGGCCTTCCGGTCCCACCGGAAGTTGGCAAATAGACTGTTTTTCGGCCTCCGGAAGGCCTCCGGGGGGTGGGGAAGGCTATTTTTGCCCTCCCCAGACTCCTAGAAAGGCTCAGGAGGCTGTGGAAAGCAAAAAAAGGGCCTACTGTGCCATTGCATGCCACAAGTGTGGAGAGCATGGGGGGGGTCATGTGTGCATGTGCGGGGGCAGGGTGCATAGAATTATGGGTGTGGGCACACATGTACGCAACCGCTCCCCGCTCCTGGCACGTGATGGCAAAAAGGTTAGCCTTCACTGTCCTATCCAATGTAGTGTTAGACTTCCCAAAATTCCTGACTCTTCTGCTGTTTGTTCATTTGTTTGGTTGATTCTTTCTTTATTATTCCAGTCAAATGTGTAGGTGATTTTAAGGGCAAAGGTAGCTATGAATTATTCTGGTTTTGGGTTTTTTTGCAGTTATGTGTTCATTGCTACTTTACTGTAACTGGGGCCTTATTTACTCTGTGTGGTGTTGGTTGAAATCTTGGCAGTTGATTCTGTTTATGATGCTAGTTCTTTCTCAGTGAGGTGTGCAATTTTTTTTTTTGCTTTATACAACTTTCTTTGTAGAGTTTTCGTGGGCAACGGGGATACGCAGGACTCATAAAGTTTCCACAGTGCTATCAAAAGGATATAAAAAGTACTAAATATTGCCAAGAGGTGATAAAAACCAAAGGAAAAATAAATCAGTGGAGTTCTTAGCAATAACTCTAGTTTAAATGTCTCTTCCTTTCTCTTCCCTCTCCTTACAGATGTCCTGTGTCCAAATGTCCACGTAGAAGGAGACAGGTTCAGACACACCAATGGAGAAATGGATGACATACCAGGTAATGCAATATTAGCGACAATCAGTTCTTCTCATCACATAGGAAAGCAGAGATATATTATATAGAGAGACTGCATTATTAAGTCTCAAAGTGGCCAGGACATTACCTTCTTTTGCAAATGGAATACATCAGTGGTGAAATCTAAAATATGTTACTACCGGTTCTGTGGGCATGGCTTGGTGGTGATGGTGGTAATGTGACTGGGTGGGCGTGGCCAATTTATTTATTTTTTACTTTTAAAACCATTTTCTCTACAACCTCTTTGTAGAGGTTGTAAAAAAATGTTTTCAAAAGGCTCTGACGATCCCAGCTGAGTTGCCTGATCAGCAGAGGCTTTTTTTTCTCTTTTAAATGCCCCTGCCGATCAGGCAACTCAGCTGGGATCGTCAGAGGCATTTAAAAGAAAAAAAGGCTTTTTTTCTTTTAAATGCCTCTGATGATCCCAGCTGAGTTGCCTGATTGGCAGAGGCTTTTTTTTTTTTTTAAAACCCTCTGACGATCCCAGCTGAGCTGCACGATCATCAGAGGCTCTTTTTTTTTTTTACTTTTAAAAGCATTTTTTTTCGGCCAAAGAGGTTGTAGAAAAAATGCTTTTAAAAGTAAAAAAAATAGCCTCTGATATTGTGTGGCTCAGCTGGGCATGGGGGGGGGCAGGGATTTTTGCTACCAGTTCTCCGAACCACCTGCCTCCATCGCTACCGGATCGGGCGATCCGGTCCAAACCGGGAACATTTCAACCCTGGAATACATAGAATTATTTAAGAGTGCCAGGCTGACTTTACTGATCAAGCTTTGGTTTGGTGGAGTTTATGTTTGGAAGAGTTAGCGGTCAAAGGAAACAAGGCCACTGATTGGCTGGACACCATTAAAAGCTGACACCAGTCAGAGCATAGAAAAACTCAAAGAACTAGTGCAAGATAGGAAGATGTGGCATAGGATCTGTGCCCTAGGATCACCAAGAGTCACACACGACTGAATGGATAACATCATAATCATCTTCAAAATGATAATGAATAATAATGGAATTCAAAAAAAAAAATAGGGAGTTTTGTTTCAGGAGTCTAGGTGAATTTGGGTCTTTATGTGTATGTGTATTTACTTTGTTTTGTGTCTGTGTCTCTTTTGGTGGGGAAATAATTTTTTACAAGGTTGCAAAGAGCAGTGCTGTTTCCATACATTATATTTTCCCATCTAGTAAAACTCTTCGAAATGATGCTACATACATCATTATGTACTCCAGAAATAACGTTCGGGGAGGAAATATGGTAGACCCATTTGGCCAGCAGTGACAAAACATGCATTTGATAGAATGCAGAGAACAAAACCTGGTCCTATTAATATTGGCAATAAGTTCTTCTCTCATGCAATATATAAATATGACATTTTAGAATGAGCAGAAGTCAAAGTCAATAGAGATTTCGCTTTCCAGGAAGATCTGATGACAATTTTCAAAAGAAAGAAAGAAAGGAAGAAAGAAAGAAAGAAAGAAAGAAAGAAAGAAAGAAAGAAAGAAAGAAAGAAAGAAAGAAAGAAAGAAAGAAATGTGTCAGAGTGTGCACAGGGTGACTGCTAGTTTGAGACAACCCAGGGGCAAAATACAGTACACAGAGGTTTTGTCTTTCAAACAGTGGTTTATTTATAAATTATATAGAGTATATATACATACACGTGCTAAGCAAAGCCAGGCAAACAATCTTCAACTATAACAGGAAGCACACACGGAGAGAAATACATGGAGAATTACAATGGAGAGAGAACATGAGAAGAGAGAGATGCTCTCACATGGCCACTCCTATATAGACAGCCTCTTAAAGTGATAACCCTGCTGACTCATTCTCATTGCATCATCTCGGTTTACAGCCTTACAGCAGCTGGTCAGCTATTAAATCATCATTACCTTAACAAAATGCATTCCCAAATGAAAAATAAGACATATGTGTCTCTCTTATTATTAAAGTATTTCCACAGCTCAGTAATACTTTTCTATGTTTGAGCCAGTAAGGTTCTCTCAAGCAGCGGTAAATCAAGGATGCAGTTCATACGAACGTTTGCAACCATGGCAATATATCAGAAAAATGATCCCATTAAAGTTGTTTTCAGGGTCTTTCATGGGGTGAAGCCGATGGGCACTGGACAAGAATAAATGCCTTTTATTGCTACTTCTGAATGGAAAAAAAAAAGCTCAGAGGAAAAACATTCCAGGAAACAAAGAAAGTATCTAACAAAGTAATTATTTGCAAGCTGTAATATCTCCAAAATTACAGTCTTGGCAAAGGATCACAGTGCACCCTTCTACCATGCCAAATGATATCAATTTTTTGAAGAGAGTGAAAACTCTAATAGAGAGTCTAGAATTGAAACATTTTGTGTGTTTTTACATGTGTGCGTTTCTGTAAAGATGCTGCCTGGGTTTATACAGCCTCCAAATCTTAAAACTGGATAACAAAGTGCTTTGTTTGCATAATATGCTAGACCCAAACCAATTAAACCATGATAAGGGTGATAGCCAAGGTTATGCAAAATAGTTGGGTCAGTGGTGAAATGTAAAATTTGTTGTTACCGGTTCTGTGGGCGTGGCTTGGTGAGCTGGCTTGGTGGGGGGATCATGTGACTCTGGCACTGAAAAGTTTGCCTGGTTTTCCTTACAGTGAATGTCCCTTCCCTCTCTAAGGACCAGAGGTGGGTGTCACATACCATAACAACCGGTTCACCCAGCACCAGAAATGTGAGCACACGTGCGCCATCCACGCATAAGTGCAGCATCACAAAACACAGGAATTTGCTCACACGTGCCATCCGCACATACATGCAACATAAAAAAAAACCCATGGAAATTCGCTCGTGCACGCCATCCACACATGCATGCGGCATCAAAAAACACAGCGATATAGGACGGGATTGCACCTGGGTGAGTGGGCAGGGCACCCGTAGGTCACAATGACCGTTTTGCCCGAACCGGTCCGAACCAGCAGTAGCCCACCACTGCTAAGGACATATGCACACTGCACTCTTAGATTACTATTATACTTGTGCCCAGGGGAAAGAGGATACCACAATTAACTGAAGAAACAAGGAAGCTGTGTTCCAGTGGACTTATTAAAAATATACAGGGTAAAATAGTAAGCAAAGGAATTTCGAACTGTCTTGAGGAAAGGATTTAGAGAAGTGATTATGCAGCCCAGAGATTGAAGAAAGAGTGAGAAAGAAACTCAAAACACTCCATCTTGATTTTGTTACTTCCAGCGATCTCTTTGGCAGCATATTTTAAGATGCCCTTATTACTTTATTATACTTTATTACTTTAAAGATAACTCAAGGTGGTGAACATACATACAGACAATCTTCCCTCATCCTATTTACCTGTTTTCCCTGCAAGAATGCCTAAGGCGGGACTAGAACTCCCAGGCTCCTGGTGATTGGCCCAAAGTCACCCATCCTAAGTTGAAACTAGAATTCAGAGTCTCCTGGTTTCTAGGTCAGCGTCTTCAGCACTACCCCAAACTGCCCCACTTTTAATATTGGAAGATATATTAAGTTTAATCAATTATTTTAATTATTACTGGTAGATATTAACAAATAATAAATATCTATCAACAGCTAAATGTTATAGTCTCACTTTGGTCTTTCATGTTTTCTTTTCTTGTTGTTGTTGCTTTGGTAGGGTTTGACTTGATGGAATTATTCAGTGTACGGGAGATATTCCGAATGAAAGATGATGGAATCCAGAGCTCTTATGTTCGGCTAGGAAGTTTTCCCATCGTTCAGCGAACACAGTAAGTTCCCCCTCTTCTTTTGAACCATTTCTTCAATTGTTTCGCTTCCCTAATATGATCCTTTTAAATTCAGAGTTGGAATTGAAATCATCCAGGTTTATAATACACCAATAAAGTTTATGAGCCTCGATGGTGCAGTGGTTAGAGTGCAGTACTATAGGCTACTTCTGCTGACTGCCAGCTGCCTGCAATTTGGCAGTTCAAATCTCACCAGGCTCAAGGTTGACTCAGCCTTCCATCCTTCTGAGGTGGGTAAAATGAGGACCCAAATAGTTGGGGCATTATGCTGACTCTGTAAACCACTTAGAGAGGACTGTAAAGCACTGTAAAGAAGTATATAAGTCTACATGCTATTGCTATACAGTCCAGAATTGCAATTCTGTAAATATCCACAAGATATTGATCCCATCTTGTTCAAACAGGAAATGAAAGTAATAACAAAGGACTTAATGAATGGAAACACCCATCTCACGCTTGGTTTTAAAGAATTTCTCCTTTTAATATGATCTTTCAGGACCATGGAAGTAGAAATATATTTTCTATTTATTCACAACGAAGAGGTAATGACTGTGCTCTAGAACAGCAGGCCATGCAAGGACAAAAGAAGAAATACTTTTGGACATGATCCTAAGGAGTAGGATGGGCTACATGAGTGTTACTATTAATCTGAGCATATTGATCTGTTTCTTTTGAAAATAGTAGGGATGCTGAAATCTACCGTGTTTCCCCGAAAATAAGACCCTGTCTTATATTTTTTTGAACCCTGAAATAAGCGTTCGGCCTTATTGCCATGCGCTCAAAAGCCCAACTGGGCTTATTATCAGGGGATGTCTTATTTTGGGGAAAACAGGGTATGCATACAAGTGTATTGCCATCAAATTCAAGTCCAGTCATAATAGACAATCAACAAGCCAAAATGGAAGAAAAACACCAAAAACACTTTCCCACTTTCCCAATCAACACTTTCCCACTTTCCCAATCAACACCCAGATGAGCACAAATTAACATTAAGATAACATCAGACCAACAATCAAGAATTAAACAATACCCTAATCAAAGAACTGCCAAACAAGCTAACAGTAAACAGCCCAACCAAAACCAAAAAACCCCAAGAACACTCTCACCAACACTGACAGGGCAAAACCACTACAATATAAAAGTCTGTAGAGATTCTCAGTCATCCGGGTCATGGTTGTCCTAAAGGTCCTTTTTCAAGAGGCAACTGAACTTCCTTGTTTTTTTCTTTGAAGATTTTACATTCCCCATCTTTCCATTCCCCACCCACCAAGAAAGTCCAGTTGCCTCCTGAAGTAGCACCTTTGGGACAACCATGACCTGGATTGTTAAGGAATATGTGCAGAGTAACCCTTGAGTAGCAAGGTTGTGCACATGAGAAACGACTGAGAGTGATTGTGAATAAGCACTGTCAATACACAGACACACCGAGTTGTGATATTCTTTTACTTTTAGGAAAAAGCAAAGCAAAGTGCAATAAACAATCCAGGTCATACACAGATAAAGATAGTTAAATTGTCAATCCAGGGATATTCCAAGAACAAAGTCTTCTTACCAGTTGTTGTAGTCATATGCAATAAAATAGTTCTTTTTGGAGTTGCAAACAGGAACAAGTACAGCAGTAAAACAATCAGTAAAACAGTAGAAAACAACAAGTAGCAATGATCAAGCAGTGATCATGCAGAGAGAACAGGCAGAGAGGAGCAGAGTTAACAATAATAATGTAATAAGAAAAATAAGCTATGATTCAAGCTTCCTCTTAAGTGCATTGGCTACAGAGCTAGCCAATCAGAATACAGTATGATGCAATACAGCATTACAGTCTTAAAGTTATACATTACATTTTGACTGCAAACATGCATTGATGGTTTATATATATTGCCAACCCAACCAGTTAGGCAATAGCCATTCCCTAACATGGATGACTGAAAATCTCTACAGACTTTTAACTATACAATTTGAAGTGAACACCTTTGAATAGTGTGGGAGTAAGAATGGATTTCCAGAGGGAAAAATTGCAGATTACAGATTACACTTCCTGTCCAACTGGAAGTTGGGAAATGGGTCGTTTCAGGCCTCTGAGGGGGTGGGGAAGGCTGTTTTCACCCTCCCCAGACGCATAGAGAGGATCTGGAGCCAGGTGAGAAAGAAAAATGGGGCTTCCCCAACCCCCCAGGCCCTCTGGAGGCAGGAAACAGCTTGTTTCCCTACTTCTGATGGGCCCAGAAGGCCCAAAAATCAGCTGGCTGGCACACGCATGTGCACCAGAGCTGAGCTGGCGTGCCCACTGATATGGCTATGCGTGCCACCTGTGGCACACGTGCCGTAGGTTCGCCATCATGGTTCTAGAATATCGCAGAAGAGTGGACATCCTTTAAAGCCAACTGAGAAAAGGGTATTTCCATTCATTATATCCATTGCTAATGCTTTCATTTCCCATTTGAATAAGACAGCGCTGTTTCAATTGCTCACTTTCCAATACATGCTGCCAATTATTACTGAAGTAGCAAAATATCCAAACATGTGTTCTGACCTAGGCTATCTATCTATCTATCTATCTATCTATCTATCTATCTATCTATCTATCTATCTATCTATCTATCTATCTATCTATCTATCTAGAAGAAGATATTACTAGTATCACTTTATGCACCAAATGGAACCCAAATTGATTATTTTAAAAAGATGCACAACAAAATTAAGGAATTGGAATACCAAAACATATGCATAATTGGAGATTTTAATGCAATTGTAAACATAGAGAAGGACTATAGGAGTTGTAAACATAATAAATCCAGGAAAAAAACACTTCCAGAAACATTTTATGATATAGTAGAAGAATTTCAATTACAAGATGCTTGGAGGGAACTCAATTATGATAAACAACAATACACATTCTATTCAAATCCACATCAATCGTGGTCCAGAATTGACATGCATGGCTTGGATGACAGCAGAGCTTATAGCAGACATTAAACAAATAGAAATTACAACAAACACATGGGCTGATCATAGCCCCATTGAAATAACATGGAAGGGACACCAAAAGCGTAAAAGATGGATGATGGATAGAGATATTATAAATGACAAACAATATGTGGATATGATCCAAAAAGAATTGAAAATATTTCTACAAATTAATGTGAAAGAGCACACCAGTCTACAAAATCTATGGGACACAACCAAGGCATATATCAGAGGCTTAACAATTGCCTATACTGCACAAAAAAAAAAAAACAAACAACAAATAAAACAAAACAAATTTACAGACAATATTACATCAATATGAATTAGATCTACAGAAACAGCCATATAATCAAGAAATTAAGGAGAAATAAATTTAACAAGGCATAAATTAAATTTGATCACAACAACAGAAATAGCAAGAAAAATAAAAATCGCTAAACAAAACCAATTTGAACATGCAAACAAACTGGACGGTGGTTAGCATATAAATTGAAAATAGAAAAACAGAGGAATATTATAATACAGTTAAAAGATGTAGATGGTTGTTTATACCAGAATATTGAAGACAAAAAACGAATTGCAAAGGAATTTTTCAAAAACTTATACGCAAAGGAAGAGATTAGAGAAGAAAATATCATAGAATATTTAAATAAAATAAAGATTCAAGAATTAGAAGAAGAACATATAGAATTATTGAACAGACCAATCTCAATGTTAGAATTAATAGAAGCGAGAAAGAAACAAAAAAATAACAAGACACCGGGAACAGACGGTATACCGGCAGAGTTTTATAAGACATTCCAACAACCATTAGATGATATATTAATACAAGTTTTCAATGATGCATTAATGGAAGCTGAAATTCCGAAGTCATGGAATGAAACAATAATCACATTAATACCAAAACAAGATTCGGATCCCACGGAAATTAAAAAATATAGACCAATTTCTCTTCTCAATGTAGATTATAAACTATTCACATCAATTATAACACAGAGATTGAAAAACCTAGTCAAATACTATATACATCCTGATCAAAATGGTTTTATTCCGGGAAGACAAATTCATAACAATACAAGAACAATTATTGACACTCTGAATTCTATGAGCAAAGATCGGAAACCAGTTAGCTTTAATTTTCCTAGATGCGCAAAAAGCATTTGATAATCTCAACTGGACATTTCTATTAGCACAATTAGAAAAAATGAAATTTGGAGAAAGATTTATAAAAATGATTAAAAAGATATACAACACCCAAACAGCAAAAATACAAATTAATGGCGATACAACTGAACAATTTGATATAAAGAAAGGAGTGAGACAAGGATGCCCATTATCTCCTATATTGTTTATATTAACATTGGAAATATTACTAGAAGAAATCAGGAAAGATACAGAAATAACTGGACTAAAAATAAAAAATCAAGAATATAAACTGCAAGCCTTTGCAGATGATATAGTATTCATTTTAGATAAACCCATACAATCTGGACCAAAATTAATGATAAAAGTACAACAATATGGAGAAGTAGCGGGATTGAAAATTAATAAACAAAAAACTAAAATTATAACAAAGAATCTTAACAAGTATCAAAAAGAAGAATTGGAAAATATATTAGGGATACAAATAGCAAAGAAAGTTAAATACTTAGGAATATGGATTACAAACAAAATATCAACTTTGAAGGAAGACAATTATATTAAATTAGCTAAACAAATAGAAAAGGATTTGGAAAAATGGGCAAAACTCCAATTGTCTCTTTTAGGCAAAATTGCTACCATTAAAATGAATATTCTGCCAAGAGTGTTATACTTATTTAGGGTAATACCAGTAAACCCAGGAAGAACATATTTTAAAGATTTAGACAGAATGATATTAAAATTTATTTGGCAGGGGAAAAAAGCAAGAATCAAATTAAAACATCTACAAGACAAAAGAGAGAGGGGGGAATGGGACTCCCTGATTGGCAGAGTTATTACAAAGCCTCAGCGTTAATATGGATAAAAGATTGGATCGA